GGATGTGTTTTTATTACTTGTGCCAAGTGCTAGGACTGTTTTAGGTACTAAAGCTTTTATGTGCGCTGCCCCTCTAGCTTGGAACACTATGCAATTTTTTTTTAAACTGAGCATTTTGATTCCCTTGCATCATTTTAAAGCGCGGTTGGATGAAATTTTATTAGATACCTGTCATTGTGAATAGGTTGCTAATTTATAACCCTGTAATTATGTTGTGATGTCCTTTTTGTTTTCTGTTGTTTTTATGTGTAACCAATGTACTGCAGGTCTCCCTTGAAAAAGAGATTGTTGATCTCAATGGGATTTTTAACCTGGTTAAATAAAGGCTACAAACAAACAAACTAACCCCGAGCCTACAGGTGGAAGCTGGGGTGGAAGCTGGGGTGGTGGTGGGGCAGGCAAGCAGCAGCAGCATGAACACAGCAGTAGCAATGCGAACGCAATAGCAGGGCACAATTTTGAATTGTGTTTCTTTTGTTTTGGGTGGAATAGGGAATGTTAGATACATAGTTCTTAACTTATTAATCGACTTATTGTCAAATGTATGTAGGATCTCATTTCTGTTTAGTCTACCAGGGAATCATTTTTCAGTAAGACACTTCCTTATAAACTGATTATTGCATTTTGTATCCATGATTAAAATTCCTTTAATAAATAATGAGGGCGGTTGTGGTTGTATGGTTTGGTGAGCCATAACATTTCTTGTCAGAAGTACAAATTCTTGAGGAAGTGCTTTATGACGTTCAATAAAGTCTAATTTTGGGGGGTTGAAGTTATGTTTAGCGCAGAATTGTTCATAATCCAAGAGATTGCCGTCAGAATCCATTAAGTCAGTTATGGACCATATATTTCTCTCAAACCAGCTTTCATAAAATAATGATTTTTTCTCCTGTTCAACACATATCTACTATTCCAAAGTGTAGTACTATGGGGCATGGGCGTCGCAGCCATTATATGAGGGTGGGACAAGTCCCCCCCACTTTTTCAAATGATTAGTTTAGACCCCCCCACTTTTACTATGCGGAAAGTCCGTGAATCGGTCTATCCACTCGCCGCACTTTGTAGAGCGCTGTGTCAGTGCTTCACTATCAAATGAAATCCATTCCACTTGCTTATTGAGAGAATGCCCAAATCAATGAAACTCCGTACCATGTTTTCACTGCTACTTTGTACCAAGGCAGATTCTCACATAGCGCGCGCATGTTCAAGGAGTGTTGTCATAGTTGGACAGCTCAGATTCTGTTGTATGAAGTGATGCCGGTAGCGGAGGTAAGGCACACACACCAAATGTTCAGGAAATGGTTAATACAGCGAAAATCAAAGCTGACGGTTTGATATGTTTTCTCCCCCAGACAACATGGACATAAGAACATTTTTTTCAAAGAAGAGGAAAGTAAGTCATCAGCTGGTAGCAGTTAATCGGTTAACAGTGATGGCGGCGTCTCACTTCTGGAGAGGAGTTTCGTCTTTATGTCATGATAGAGAGATACAAATACTGAATAGTTTAGATGAGAAAAGGCATCGAAATGCCAGGTTACTAGTATTTATCATGTAAACAGGGAACATGAATAACACGATCTCTCTGTGCTCATGTAAACACCATATCCCCAATATGATCCTAACCGGGATAATACTCATAAACGGCTTACTGATGTCCATGTAGAGACGCAGTCAGTGTGTTTTACTGGAGCCTCAGTTCGATAAGAGATTCTTTTCTGAGTTCTTTAACTTAGGTACTCTCTCTCAAAATGGTAATGTGCATTATGTTTTAATTTACTTCTTATCATTCAGAAGCTTTTTGTGTGTGTTTATGTTTTACTGAGTGCTTATAGCAGGGCTTCTCAAACTCCGGAAAAAAAGATTCTGATTCTGATAAATATATGTACATCATTGTGTACGCGCGTCTTGTGTCTGACGCGTGTCTGATTGTGAGAATGAACGTGCATATATATTTACTTGTGTGCGTGAGCGTGACACGCATTGCAGACCGCAACTTTACTGGCATTGATCCGGACCAATGACCTTGTATAAAGTTCACAAGTCGACCTTTAATAAAAAAGTTTGAGTACCCCTGGCTTATAGGCTATTTCCATCCCAGTATTCAGTTAACTATTTATTTTCTGTGCACATTACATAGACTAGCTAATATTCTACCTACTGCTTGGGACTTTGAGTCTTCAAAATGTCCAATGTCACAGACTGGGACTTACTTTAGAGTCAGTTGTATTTACATTCAGTATGACTTGTTATGATTCAACGTGAAAGAGTATACTGCTCAATAAATAATGATCACTTCACCACCTCTCTTGACATCTAGGCACTTGAGAGTGAGTCAGAGGCAGAATACAGGGACAGTGGAGAGAGGTCCATTGCTGAGGTGAGTGATGAAAGGGAAATGACAGTTGAGAGTAAATTGTGATGTGGACTCTCATCCCAGGATTTTAAGAAAATCAGTGGGGATATTGAACAGGAAACATTTCAGTCAAGGGGCATCATATGACCAATATAGACAGAAGAGCAACATTTATTTGAACATTTAAGTCAATGATACCATTCCTAGGTGAACTTAACATCCGTATGGAGTCAGATCAGTCTCAATATTAATAAATGCTCACAGAAGGATTCACAAATGTATTTTGCGATTTATATATAAATGACTCTCCACAACAATATCTCTCAATGCACTCACAAATATTTATTGTTGTATATAAATGTACAAAAAATGGGCATTTAAACTGCTTTTTATTAATTCAAAGACAGCTCTGAATTAATAATCAAATATGTTTCCTTTCTTTACTACTGGATGAAATTACAAAATGTACCCATCATTTTCCTCATGCTAGTATAGCCACATAAAAGTATCAAACCACCTGTTAAAATGCACCAGAATACAGGAAATCTATATTTTTTTATAGCAATTTATCAATAGTAAAGTCTGCTGTAAGAAGAAATGACCTCCAATTTTATTAAATATATGATTTGGAACGCAGTACCAGAAGGAGTTGGTATGTTTGATCCAATACTTGATCCAATACATTTTTAAAGTTCCATTAAGGCACTCAAAATCAATCACTTCTAAATCTCCATCCATCATTTCTTTAACCATATCACCTTGCTTCATGTAATGTGGTTTGTTTCTCCAAATGAAGTTTAGATTAATTTGGTTAAAGTATTTAATCAGTTTGTTTGGGATGGCATTAGAGTATGGTTAAATGCATCTTGACAAGGATTCCATCTTTGTCAGATATATTCGGCCAAGTATTGAAAGGTCTCTTTGGAGCCATGAATTTAACTTAGCCTTGCATTCCTTTAATTTGTTTTCAATGTTGAAAGACTGACTTTGCTTTTTGTCTTTAGAAAGGTAAATTCCCAGGTATTTTATTTCTGATTTGATTGGAATATTACAAATGTCTTTCAGTGGAGTATCATGTATGGCAATAAGTTCAACATTTTTTATATTTAAAGTTAAGCCTGACGCTTTGGAGAATCTTTCAATTTTAATAATAGCTGTTGGAATCTGATGTTTATCCTTTAGGAATAATGTTGTGTCATCTGCAAGCTGGCTAATGAGAATACTTGTACCAAATACATTTAGGTTTTTGATGTCATCACAATTTTTAAAGCTCCCATGTCATGCTTATTGTCAGATGCCTGGGCAAAATTCTCAGGTTTGGATGTTACCTAAAAACAAAATGTATGACAACAATACAACTTATTTTGCATTGTTGGAAATTAAACCAGGGTTTCTCAATATTATAGTGATACAAAACATTGCCATAATGTCCTGTACACAAAAAGGATCCAATATTTTCGAATTGCACGATTCAACTGAACTTTATCTTTTTAAGCTAAAAAGACACCAGAGCCTGTTTTAGATATTGTAACTACGCAAGGAATAAAACTTGAAGTGGTTGCCTGTTACAAATACCTTGGTATCTGGCTTTATGACTGTCTCACTTTTAAACATCATGTCAATAACCTGCTTAAAAAACTGAGGGTTAGGCTAGGTTTCTTCTACAGGAACAAGTCCTGTTTCTCGCTTGAGGCCAGGAAAAGGCTAGTCACTGTGACCTTTTTACCTGTGCTGGACTATGGTGATTTGATTTATATGAATGCACCTGCCAATTGCCTGGTCAAGTTAGATGCTGCGTATCACAGTGCACTGAGATTTGTGACAAACTGTAAAGCATTAACCCATCACTGTACCCTATATGCAAGGGCTGGTTTGCCTTCGCTAACTGTACGGAGGCTCAGTCACTGGTACATTTTTATATATAAAGCCATGTTAGGGAAACCTCCATCCTACATCTGCTCCCTGATCTCACGGCGAATTGTAAGTGGCTACTGCCTGAGATCGGATGCTGTGGTTTTATTAAATGTGCCAACTGCTAGGACTGTCTTAGGGAAGATAGCATTTAGATGCGCAGCTCCACTGTCCTGGAATAGTCTGCAATTGAAATGGAAACTGAGCAATCTGGTGCCACTAAATGTTTTTAAAGCTCGGTTGGATGCTACTGAATCGGAAGCTGTTGGTACCTGTTCATGTGGATAGTTATGTAAATTGTAATCCCTGTAATGATACTGTATGATGTCCTTTTGTTGTTCTGTTTATGTTTTTAATGTTTCATGTGAACTTACTTGAGCAGTTCTCCCTTGAAAAAGAGATCAATGATCTCAATGGGATACAACCTGGATAAATAAAGGTTTGAAATTAAATGAAATGAAAAGTAAGCCCCTTGATTGAATAATGATATTAATTTATATTTTTATTATACTGACAATAAATGTTGTCCACTTACAATTTCCAATGGGAGCAATTCTCTCTTGGTTATTTGTCATATTTACCTCACAGAGTAATTCTCACAGGCTTCTTCTCTTTTGAATCTGAGCTTTTGTGCCATTTTTGAAGAGTAAAAATAAAGAATTTGTCTTTGCGTCTAAACTGCACACCTTTGAATCAATCAAGTCATTACTTTAGCAAAAGCCTGTGTTTGGTCGACGGGCACTAATTATTGTTTTATTATTGTAACTGTTTATCTAATGCATAAAAGCATCTAAATCTATTTCAACACGGACAAATAATCATGCAATATCAGTTTACAATCTTCATAAAGTCTTTATCAGTTTATAATCTTCATGAAGTCTTATAATTGTCTGAAATGTATACAAACATGCTCCCATATAACAGGCAGTATGACAATTATTTATTGAACTTTCTTTTCTTATTACAGTGTTGGTACTTTAACTTAAGATATCTACCAGAGTATTTCTCCCACCACTGCTTAGAATGTGCATTATTTCTGTTGATGCACCGTATGACTAAACCTACAAAAACCCCTTCTTCTGCATTTCATCCATAGATCAAAGTGAGAGTAATTACAGCCTAATTTCTAATAAAAATACATTTAAAATCACTTGAAATTTCTTTCAGAATATTTATTGAGCAAATTGCTAACTTCATTGCAAAGATAAATACAAAGTCATTAAAATCATCAGTATGGATCAGCAATTTCATTACATCAACATGTTTTTCATCAAACCATAATCATATCCTAAAGTGTATATTTCAAAATCAATAAAGTGAGTGATTGATTTAACCATTGATTGAAAGAAAGGCTGAGCCATCGAGATTGATAGACCTCAGCAGAAAGCTAGCCACTGTTAAACAGCAGATCTGTTGAATCATAAGAAGCCGGGGGGTTGACGTATCTGGAGGCCGACCTTTTCCTTCCGTTGCTGGTGAGGAAAAAAAACAATGAGATTCAGATAAACAATATTTCAACCACTTTTTTCTTGTTCTGCTGTGACAGCTGTATTAGTAGTTTGATGTATCCGCGGTGTTAAAGTTTCCCGCAGTTTTGGAGAGTATAGCATTATTTCCCACTTACATTAACATTGGTAAAGCTTGTTGACACGGGCAATGTCATTCTTGCTCATCGTACGAGCAGTCCCAAAGTTAAGACTCGGATTGCTCTTAGCGAGGATGGTTGGTTCCCTGTTTTTGCTGAAGGCGTATCTTGAGGATCAAAAGAAGACAACATGTTTGGCAAACAGAGCTGCACACACACATCACAAGCACACAGACACTTGCTTCTGACTCACAAATGATGTTGTAATGTGGAGTCGTTTGTGAGCTGTTTTAGGCAACCTAATACAGGGTTCTACAGCACTAGGCAAGTTAGATTAAAGGTGGGGTAGGTCATTTTGGAGAAACCAGCTCGAGATCGCTAGAATTTGAAAATAAACAGCCGGAAAAAAATCTGCCATTTCCTTACAGAGCCCCTCCTCCAACACACACGAACGCGCACATGACCAATGAGGGCACGAGATAAGTTTGTGCACAGATGGAACGCTGACAGGCAGGTAGGCCATCCAGTTACTTTAGCCGGGCCGGCTAAAATGATTGGTCGTGCTTTTTACAGTACTACGGCTTCCACAGATGACATTTCTTTATGGATTTTTTGTCAAAGCACTTAAAATATTCATTGCTATCGGGATGTTAAGAGCATTCCATGGAATATAACAAAAAGTGTATCTCGAGCCGGTTTCTCAAACTTACCTACCCCACCTTTAAAACTGATTTAATTAAATATTGGATGGAATTTAACTTCACAATACCCTAACTTGAAATAAAAATGTATCAATGATCATTAAATGTTTGATTTTGAATGCAAGACTTTTACATGTAAAATAATATTTTTACAACTTCGAACATCTGAGTACTTGTCCCTTGACTGACATCACATTTGAACATACATACATACACGCACTCACACAAACACTCACTTTCCGTAGTGCATGACAGAGTCGAAGTCGTAGGGAGTACCCAAGTTGTTAGTTTGCCGCTTCATAAAGTTATGTGTTTGTCCTGCAAAGAGAGAACAAGAGAGCATTTATATTTGAGAACAGCGTTAACATTTTTGCATTTTTATAAACAATGGATTGAAAATGTGCAAACAATACTTGCTTAAAAGCATGCTGGTAGACTTAAAAGCCAACCCCTTTATTGTATTAATAACCCTTTTATTGTATTAGTAACTGTTGGATGGATTTAATACAGACATTCTGTTCATGATGCCCACAAGAGGTTTCCAAATATATTTGGTGTTTCCGAACATCTAAAAGATGGATTGGCACAAAATTCCCAGATAATATATTGTAATTATTTCAATGTAGTGCCATCATCAGATAACAATTCAAATGTGTCCAATACTTATCTCTGCAGAGCTAACACCTTCCCCAGCCTCAGATTTCCTTTGTGTTGACTTGTAATTATCAGATGTTATCATGCTAAAACACTAAACACAAGAAAGGGCCTTTTTCAAGTGGGATGGAGGATGTACAAACTGGGAAATGGGAAAGACCTAGCAGAGCTGCTATCATGGAAATGACTTTGATGTTAGTGGATTTTCAGTCAAGAGGCATACACTTTATACTCACCTCTCTGTATATCTCATCTTTTTTATACAACACACACATACAGGACTGTGAATAAGAGCGTTTGTGTGTGAGCTGACCTGGCTTGATGTTCTGGTAGAGGATGGAGACGTAGCTGTCTCTGTCGGAGCGAACTTGCTCGTGGTGGAAGCCCAGAGCGTGGAGAACCTCGTGCTGCACTGTGTCTGTGTACAAACAACCATTTTTCTGCAGGGAGACAAGCTGTCCTCTACTCTGTCGGCCCAGGTAGGACCAACACCTGTCTCACACACACACACACACACACACACACACACACACACACACACACACACACACAGACACACACACACACACACACACACACACACACACACACACACACACACACACACACACACACACACACACACACACACACACACACACTCACATACACACACACACACACACACACACACACACACAAACACACACAAACACACAGAAAATACGAAAATAAGAATAGGTATTGTTGATATATTCCTGGCCTCTTGTGTTGTTAGGGAAATTTCAACTTTAACTAGCAAAGGGGATCGGTTGTTTTTTTACATTCCAAATTGACAGAAAGTAACTCATTTACTCAAGTACTGTACTCAAACAAAAGGTACTCGTAATTGTCTTACTATGTGTGTTCTTACCCAGATCCAGAGTAGAAGTAGAGGTAATTTCGATGACTCCTCCTCCAGACAAAGCGAATGCAGGTGGATGCGTGGAAGGTCAGCAGGGCTCGGATGATGATGTTGCGCTCTGTTGCGGCTGCAGAGACAAAGAACAGGGTGCTGAGCAGTGTTCTCGCCAAACCTGGTCTGCCTTCCAGCATAAAATCTCACATTTAGATTACATTTTAGGGCTCAAAAGTGAATTTACTGTAGCTGGTGGAGATGTAGATGGGTACGTAGACGTATCTTCTATATTTGGGCCATTTGCAGCCTGTAGCCGTGCAGGGATCTGCATTCCTTCTTACATTTGGCACAATGTCGCCGTCGACCAGGCGCGTTGCTGCAGAACAATAAGTCAAACAGACATGTTCATGAATATCCGTACCAGGAGTATGGAGTGGTACAAGTTTGATTGACATTGACCAATGGGTTAAGGCTATGGGTTTCTTTCCATTGTTGATAAATATTTAAGAAAACACTGGAAAAATAGATTTTTAGAAGTTAGAAAACGTACAAGCACGTCTGACCAACTATAAAAAAAAAAATTCTCACATTTAAGAAGCTGGAACCATCAGATGTCAGGGAACATTTGTAATACATGTCTGAAATTGTGTTTAGAAAATATAAAACTTGTGTCTTACTTATGTTAGCATTAGCTCTCTCGATGATATCAGAGGCGTCCAGAAACTCTTCTGAAAGAACAAACAAACAGAAAAAAACAATGATACAACAAACTATTACCAGCAGTTCAGCCTGTTAATCACTCAAATGTCAGATGTGAATCAAGAGAAACTAAGAAGGAAAAAGAATGCCACTATTAAATGAATTCTTCATTTTCAACTCACGTCTTTCTCCGTTATCAGTAGCGCCCTGCAACACAAATGCACAACATTGCAAAATATAAAATATGTTATTTTTATTCCATTTCAATTCATACCAATAAAAGTAATCCTTGCATTTTTTCTTTTTAAAATTATTACAAAAAAGTTTTTGTTTGTTAATCCTACGGGAATTGTTTGTGTTAACATGAAAGAGTCAGACTTACCGGAGTAATGGCCGACAAAGAGATGAAGAGGACGAAAAGCAAAACTGGAGTCATGACGGTGGTCCTCTGCAGTCAACCCTCAAATCTGAAAGTCAAAATCTGAAAAGTGTTTGGTGGTCAAGGAAAAGGTTTGGTATACATACGTTCTAAATTATTTACAAGAACAAAAATACTGAGAAGAGGATCAGTGGAGCTTACCTGCTGTAGCTGACTGTGATGCTCGATGCAGCAGGTTCTCAGATCCTCACGCTTTATAGAAAGCTGTGAGGGTGTGTCAGAGGATGGACACATATCTGTAAACCTCAGCTGTCAGTCAAAAATGTTGTTAAAGTGAAGCTACTCAAGGAAAAGAATTAAACTGACATGTTTTCCCCAGTTAGGAAATCACGTACAAGTATTCAGACCCTTAACTAACGTTAGAAAAACATGTGAATGCATAAGTCAACTTTCAAGTAACAAATGACCAAGTGTAAGCACTTTATTTTACACTATATCTTTTTTAAATGTATGGGCATAAAATGAATAATGATAAATATGTAGAGATACCCTTCAGCAGCACATAACAGAAAAGTAAAGATTAATACGGAAAGTGAAAAGTAAATAAAAGGTATACGGATTCAATTGTATTTATTTATCATAGCATCTATGGTGAACATACAGATTTGCCTACCATGCACTTTTTGGCAAACAAAAGGAACGTACAATATGAATTTCTTAGTGCATGGTTCCTATAACATAATTACAATAGTAATGAAATGCTTTGTATGTGATGATGTCATTGTTATCATCACTGTTCAAGCAGAGTTATTGACAACGGAAAAAATGCAATACTTTTCTCAATTTCTGTCAGACGGAAATTAAATATTTAATAGAAAAAATAATACATTGTAAAGATATTATCATTTTTACGCATAGGGCAGTTGGAGGTACTCTTTACGATGTAGAAGTAAAGCAAATCGCAAGTAAACATGTAGGTTTAAATTCACAGCACTCAACTAAGGTGGCCAGCAGGTGCAAACGTGCTGCAACGGCCCAAAACACTTCCATTAGTAGAAACCGGCTGCAACTGTCATTATTGCCAGAGTTAGTCTTTTTCATAATTGTAAGTGTTTTTTGTTAGTATATTTGAGATGACTACGTTAGCTACGTTTGCTAGCTAGCTAACAGTAGGTCTGCAATAACAACAGAAGGAATCATGCAATCACATTGTTAAAATAAGCCAATAAAACTTATATTTTAGGTAAGCTTCCACTGACTATTTATAATCCTGAATGCCAACAAGCATTCTGGTCCTAGCTGTGTGCATCACTTTTTAGTATCCCAATTTCCATTGTGTTTTGAGCCTTTTGTACTTGCAGCGTTTCGTTTATGAGTCTTGTGTGTCTTTCAATTGGTTGAGTATGTGGGTTATCATTTCCCTTTTTCTGTATAACAGAAAGGACTTGATATTTAAAAAGGACTAAAAATGTACTTTGGTTTTTAGTGCTAGAATTTTGGTTTTCCAGATGTTGTTCCGGATGTTTAATGTTGTCCTTTGCTATTCTGGATTTGACATCTTCTTGCGCATATTAGTTATGTTCCCAAGGTATTTTTTGCAGTTGCGTAGGCAAAATCCCAATATGGGCGGGTATTGAGAAAATCAGGTGTGTATAGCTTGTCAAAGGCCAAACAGAATGAATACATTATGAAATGCACGTGTAAGCCAAGAAAGGCCAATTACACACAAGCACACACATACACACACAGAGATGGCAAACACAGCAACATTAGCATCAAATCAAATTTTACGGACAAAAAAACGATACCCTATAAACCAGCGGTTTTCAAAGTGTGAGGCGCGCTTCCCCGGGGGGGCGCCAGAGAGCTTCAGGGGAGGCGCAGCGTGAGAAAAAAATAACAACGAGAAACAGTGAAATCTAGCTAGTTAACTTCAGCTAACTTTATGTGAGCGGCAACATGGATCGATTTTTTGTGAAGTTACCTAAAGTGAGAGAGGAGACAGCGTCTGGCAGAAAACGGAGGAAGTATGACCACGATTATTTGAAGGATTTTCATGGACCGGTCCTGGTGACACTCCACTGCCAACGAGGTGCTAGCTAATGACAGTATGAGACCATGTAAACTCCGGCGTCATATTGAGACGAAACACCCAAGTTTGGTGACCAAGCCACAGGAGCAGGAAGCTCAAGGAATTGCAGTCAAAGAAAAATGTCATTGACACATTTAGCACTGTGAATACAAAAGCAACCGAAGCATCATACCGAGTGGCGTTACCCATAGCTAAGGCAGGTAAACCCCACAACATTGGTGAAAAGTTACTCATCCCTGCTGCTAAAGATATGGTTTCGGTAATGATGGGAGAAGCTGCTGCTGCCAAGCTAGATGCGATCTAACGGTCTACATTGTATCCCCGCATCATCCGCCTGTGCGCATCAAAGACGCAGACATTGTTCCCACTAAAGTAGGGGTGAGTGTAATAAGGAGGCAAAGTTGAAGTTCAGTGTGTTGCCGGGAGCATATAAGGATTTATCCACGATGTTGAAAATGTTACAAATGTTACCCGAATAGGTAACACTTTATTTTGATAGTCCATAGTTAACACTCTATAAGTCATCAGTTGACATTTAGTAGCATGTCAACAGTGCATCAGTTGACATGTATCAGTTGACATTCAACAGCACCGTTCAAACCGACAAGTAACTAAGCATTAGTTGACGATCAACAGATAAGCAACTAAAGTTCAGTTGACTATCACATTAAGCATTAGTTGATGATCAACAGATAAGCAACTACAGTTTAGTTGACTATTACATTAAGCATTAGTTGATGATCAACAGATAAGCAACTACAGTTTAGTTGACTATTACATTAAGCATTAGTTGATGATCAACAGATAAGCAACTTTAGAGTTTAGTTGACTATTACATTAAGCATTAGTTGATGATCAACAGATAAGCAACTTTAGAGTTTAGTTGACTATCTGTTGATTGTCAACTAATCTAGAGTTGACTATGAGTATACTTTTAGTAGGTTCTCCACTAAGCGTTTGTAGGCATGTGTTAGGACTATCCAATTAAAGTGAAAAACAGTTGAGAACAGTAGAAAGTCTATAACCTATCAACAGAACACATACATTCATCCACTAATTATATGCAACAGACATGGGAATAAAGCGAAATCTTTTGCACAACTGATCACGAACACTGGATAACTGAAGTCAATGCCAGGCTATAAAGCACAGTAGAACAAACACTATATGCAGCATATCAGAGAAAGAAAGCTTTTTTATTTTAATAATATACTACAAGTAAAAACACTGAACAGTTGTGAACCACATTCAATCCTACTAAAGGACTACTAAGTGACTACTACTACTTCTACTGTTCTCAACTGTTTTTCACTTTAATTGGATAGTCCTAACACATGCCTACAAACGCTTAGTGGAGAATGCCTACTAAAAGTATACTGATAGTCAACTCTAGATTAGTTGACAATCAACAGATAGTCAACTAAACTCTAAAGTTGCTTATCTGTTGATCATCAACTAATGCTTAATGTAATATTCAACTAAACTCTAAAGTTGCTTATCTGTTGATCATCAACTAATGCTTAATGTAATAGTCAACTCAACTTTAGTTGCTTATCTGTTGATCATCAACTAATGGTTAATGACTTATTAGTAATGTAATCTTTAGTTGACATCTTGACTCAAGTGAAGTGAAGTTCTTACCTGGCTGGATTATGGACTTCCTCCAGACATGCTAGCCCCCTGCCTGCCACAGCTCCCAACATAGCTTATTTCGAGAACGCTTTTGATGGGTCTCGTCTGGCTTTTGGAGGTCCACAGAGCCTCCAAAAGGCTCCTAAGAGAAGGAGACCCAAGTCCAAGCTACCAGCCCGAGCCCCTGCAGACATGTTTGCGGCTCCAGTACCGGCCCACACAGCCATGGATCCGTGCTCCAGTACCGGCCCACACAGCCATGTTTCCGTGCTCCATTACCTGGCCCACACAGCCATGGTCCAGGCTTCAGTTCCGGTCCCAGCAGCCATGGTCCCTGCTCCAGTACCGGCCCACATAGCCATGGTCCGGGCTTCTGTTCCGGTCCCAGCCGCCATGGTTCCAGCCCCAGTTCTGGTCCCAGCCGCCATGGTTCCAGCCCCAGTTCAGGCCCCAGCAGCCATGGTTCCGGCCTCAGTTCTGGTCCCAGCCGCCATGGTTCCGGCCCCAGTTCCGGCTCCAGTACTGGCTCCCCGGCCGATGCCAGCCCCCCGTGTTATGTCAATGGATCGGCCCACTCCAGCCTCTCGTGTCCTGTCGGTGGTCCGGCCCACTCCAGCTCCCCTTGTCCTGTCGACGTACCGGCCGACTCCAGCACCTCATCTCCTGTTGGCTCTCCGGCCGACGCCAGCTCCCCGTGTCCTGTCGGCGTTCCGGCCGACTCCTGCTCCCTGTGTCCTGTCGGCGTACAACCCGACACAAGTCCCCTCTCAAGCCTTCTCTCAAGTCCCTAATCAAGTCCCTCCTCTAGTCCCTCCTCTAGTCTCTCCTCTAGTCCCTTCTCTAGTCCCTTCTCCAGTCCCATCTCTAGTCCCTTCTCTAGTCCCTTCTCCAGTCCCTTCTCTAGTCCCTTCTCAAGTCCCATCTCTAGTCCCTTCTCAAGTCCCCTCTCTAGTCCCTACTCAAGTCCCTGCTCTAGTCTCTTCCCAAGTCCCTTCTCAAGTCCCTTCTCAAGTCCCTTCTCTAGTCCCTTCTCTAGTCCCTTTCCAAGTCCCTTTCCAAGGCCCTTTCCAAATCCCCTCTCTAGTCCCATCTCGAGTCTCCTCTCGAGTCTCCTCTCGAGTTCCCTCTCGAGTCTCCTCTCGAGTTCCCTCTCGAGTTCCCTCTCAAGTCCCCTTTCAAGTCACCTCTGGAGTCCCCTCTCAAGTCCCTACCCAATGTCCTGGTCCGTTGGAGGTTCCGCTGGGGGTCCTGCCAACCCTATGTCCTGTGCCGTTGGAGGTCCCGCCGACTGCTCTTCTGCCGGGGGTCCTGCCGGCCCTGTGTCCTGTGCCGTTGGGGGTCCTGCCGACTGCTGTTCTGCCGGGGGGCCTGCCGACCCTGTGTCCTGTCCCGTTGGGGATTCCGCCGACAATTGCTCCGCCGGGGGTCCTGCCAACTCTGTATCCAGTCCTGTTGGGGGTCCCGCCGACACCTGTTCCGCCGGGGGTCCTGCCAACTCTGTGTCCTGTTCCGTTGGGGGTCTGGCCGACACCGGGTCCTGCCCGGCCTCCGGAGCTGTCCCGTCACCGCCTTCTTGTTCGCC